CTCCTGTTGGAGCCTGTTTCCTTACCCACCCAACGGGGATGAAGTAGCACCTGCAGCAGCCACTCGACCCCCCTGGTGTACCCCAGGAAAGAGGCCCTGAGCTGGGGAGAGGCCCAGGGTCCTGACGGCGGAGGAGCCCGCCCAGCAGCCAGCCTCCCTCCCAGCCCGCCCCCCGGAGGGTGAGGCCGGTCAGGTCCTGGCCACCCTGTTCCCCTCTCGCTCCTGTGCTCCCACAGCAAAGCCAGAGCCTCCCCGTGGCTGCAGGGCCAGGTCACAGGGCGCCAGGGCAGGCCGGTGGTTAGGGCTCTGGAGCCAGAGCAGTGAGCTTGGTCCCCACACCCCGCTGTGGCCTGGTGCGTGCTCTCAGCCTGTTCGCTCCTCTGTAAGGCCTGGTCTTACCTGTGCGGAGCCAGGCGCACAGACGCTCAGGACACGGAAGCCTTGTGGTGGCCGCTGGTTTTTAATCCGCTCTGGAGGTTTGGGAGACTTGACGCCATGAGCTGGTCTCTGGGTCCCGGAAGCCTCTCCCTGCGGCCAGGGCCTCGCGGAGCCGCCTCCTCCCTGCTCCGCCCGCCTCCCTCCCTCGGGGCCACAGGTGAGAACAGTTTCTGTTCCGGCCCCGCAGGAGCCTGGCGGGACCATCGAAGCGCCTGGCGCTGAGAGGAGACAGGGCTTCGGTCTGCATCCAAAGTGCACAAGCAACCCCGGACCTTCCCCTCGGTGTCACTGAGGCTGCGGTCAGCGGCAGAAGGGCCTTTGCAGGTGCAATGAAGCTGATCTCTCAGCTGACCCTAAGAGAGGTCACCCTACGTGCCTGACCTCGCCGCCCAAGCCCTTTAAAAGCGGAGTTTTCTCCAGGGGGCAGCAGAACAGGGGGTCGGAGAGGCCAGGGTGAGGAGGGATTCCCCAGGAGGCAGGCTGGTGCTGAGATGGGGGGGTCACAGGTCAGAGCAGCCCCAACCAACACCCAGGATGGAGTGGGGACCTCAGTCCTGCAACCACCAGGAACTGCGTGCTGCCAGCACCCCGAAGGGGCCTGGAGAGGCATAGGAGCCCAGCGTGGCTGATGCCCGAGAACTTGCCGAGCCCACCCAGCCTCTGACCACAGAGCTGCGAGGGAGGAAATGGCCGCTCTTGGAATCTGCTGCATTGTTAGGTGGCGATAGAAAAGCCAATATCCGCATGCCAATCACTTACTCTTTTACGGAGTGGAGATCCTTACAGCCCATCCCCCCCACAGCAGACCCTGGGGTGGTCTTCGCACAGCGTCACCCTGACCCTCCTTCAGCGGGAGTCTGAGACCCTGCTGTGGCATTCAAGGCCCTCCCTGTTCTGCCCCTGCCCCCCCTGCCCCACGAGTCGAGTGGCCCCGCCCACGGGCGCTGTGGGAAGTTTTTCTCGGAGAGCAGGTCCCTCGTGAGACACGAGTGTGATGGTCACAGGACGGCACCTGCGCGCTCTCAGGCGCTCCTCCTGGGAACGCGCCCCCTGGAGCTGGTCGTGTGGCCTCGGGGACGTGCTGGCCAGTGGCACACACGGCAGGAACTTCCGGACGGGGGAGAACAGACACGGCCCGTCAGTCTGGAGAAGCCGGCGGCGAGGACCTGCCACACGCGGGCAGCTGCTCCGGCAGCGGCGTGGCTCCTGGGGAGACGGAGACAACACTCTGGAAGGTCGCCTTGCAGCCCTGCCTGCCCCGAGGGCCGGCCGAGGCTCAGAGCCTGCAGGTGTGCAGGGCAGGGCGGGCGGGGGCTGCCGCAGAGGAGCGGCGGGAACCAAGAGGGTTGGGGGCCCCTGCACTTCCCAACGCTGAAGCAAGTCTCCGGACTCCGTGTGTCCTTGGCCTCCTCAGCCTCAGGTGCCTCCTCCGCCCACTGTCACCCGTCACGGCAGCTCAGGTCCGCCAGGCTGGCCTCAGTTTCCCAGTGCGGGGTGGGGATTACACCATGACAACCCATGGGGCAGGCGCTGGTCCCGTCGCAGCACATGTTCGCCTGTGAGACCCGGAGCATGGAAGCGCCAGCGTCACCTGCCCCAGGGCAGTGGGGAGGCCTGGCTTTGCCCCACGTGCCCAGGCGCGGGTTCCAGCTCCCAGCTGGTGGCCTGGGGCCAACTGGTTTCCTCCTTCTGAACCAGCAGCCTCGGGCCTGGCTCACGAGGCACGGCCAGCACGAGGGAGGGCAGGGAGGTTGTCGGGGGGAGACTCCCACTGGTACCCCAGACCCCAGCTGGGTCTGCCCTGGGGCACTCCCCGACCCGGACCTCCTGGCCTCGGCTCATATGGGGCGACAGCCTCCCACCCCGGGTCTGTCCCGGTGAGGATCCGGCTGCAGCTGGCGGCCTCGCGGGCTGGCTGCACGTCCCGCTGCGCCTCAAACCCTGTGCGCAGATGACGAGAATTAATATGATGCAAATTGGTAGGTTGAGCCCGGCGCCCCAAGCAAGAGGCCTAATTTCCACGCAGCCCAGCACGCCCCTCGCCAGGCCCAGCGGTAATAACAACAACAACGCTAATCAGGATCATTGGCGGGTGTGCAGCCGCTTCAATCCCGCGCCCCCTCCCCCCATTTACACCTGGAAAAAAGCAGGAGGAGGGGCAGGGAGCTGCAGGGAGGGGGCCCAGAGAGGGCGCAGACCGGCCTGAGGTCACCCCGCTTGTGAGAGGCAGGCGGGGGCAGAAACCTGAGGGCTCTTTTTACTGCCCCGGGGGCCCCTTCTCAGAGCCCTGTCTTGGGGGACTGGGGTGGGGCTTTGCCCTAAGGACTGGTCATTTTAACCCCAGGGCATGGCAGCCTGGGGGGAAGAGGAGTCTCACATTTGTAACTGAGTGACCCTGGGCGAGTCGCTGAGATGAACACCTGCCTTTTCTTTCACATTAATCTGACAGCTTCCTGGGCACAGGAAGCGTGACTTCTATCTCCTCCCTCCTGGGCTGGGCACCTGGTAGCGGCTCATTAAATGTCAGTTTACCCGGCACATGCGGGCTTCCACCCGATGGTCCTCTGTGCCCCACAGTGTCACTTGGATGGGCTCTCTGACCCTCACAGCCATCCTAGGAGTTGCCTCTAGGCCAGC